CCTCCATGGGGGTCTTTACGGAAGAGGCACAGTTGTCACCACAACCCCATCACAGCTGCAGAGGCCAAGTCTCAGGGCCAGGTGAGCGCCCAGGCCCACTCCAGGTCAAGGCCTCCRTGAGCCCTGGGGTGCCGGCAGCCATCGCTGTTCCTGGCCTTGGCTGGTCCCCAGTGTCCTCCGTCCTGTTGTGTTCAGCAGGGTGGTTCTTACCCAAAAGCTGGCTCTTGGCCTTTGAGTTCCTGCAGGTGCCCAGCACGTGTAGGGAGGGTGGACGGGGCCTGACCACCTTGCTGGCGATGCCTGCTGCCTCCCTGCCCGCGAAGGTGGTACTTCGGTCCTCAGCCTGTGAAGACGGCGCTCCCTGTGGGATGCCCTGTTCCCATGGCTTCCCTCGCCACCTGACTCACCTGAAGATGAGACGATGGAGAGCGGGTGCCCCCGACTTTAGGGTGACACTCCTCCTGGTGAAAGAGTCAGGCCCTGTGTGGCCACTCCACCCAGGGCCGTGCAGGTGATGGAGCAAATTCCCAGAAGCCCTGGCTCACCTGTGTGACACCCCTTCCCCCCTTCTCCCAGTGGCCTCGAAGGCAGGAGGGAAAGTGGCCCACTCTCAATGTCAGGCCAGGGGGCGGAGCCTCGGAGAAAGGGCAGGATGGCAAGTGCACGAGCTTCCCTGACGCTCCGTCCACTGCTTCAGGACCTGTCGGACTTGCTGGCCCGACTCTGGCTTGCTGATGGTGCTGCGTCAGGAGTGGCCACCAGAGTTTGGTTTTAACTGGCCCTTCTGCAGTTGTGCCATTTGTCCCAGTTCGCTAAGAATCATCTGTCAGTTAGCTCTCGGTTCCTGTGACAAAGTACCTGAGAAGTTCAACTTCAGAGGAGGAACGGCTCATTTTGGCAGAGTGTGTGAGAGGTTTCAGGCCAYGGTTGCTTGGCCCTGTCGCTTTGTGTGTAGGAAAAACGGTGTAGGTGGGTGGCACAGGAGGCAGCTGGTAAACAGAGAAGGGAAAGGGCCAGGGGCCCAACATGGGCATGCCCCCAGTGACCACAGGGCTTCAGGTCCCATGGCCTCCAATAGCATCACCCTGAGGACTGAGCCTCTACCCAATGGCCTCTGGGTGATGCAGGGACCCAACCAGAGCAGGACGAGAACACCGCCCTGGACAAAGGCCAGATTCTGCTCTGCTCGGGTGGGCATCACCTGGGTGTTGTCGTAMGAGATTGTGCCGCTCAGGAGGTTCAGATGGAGGAAGGAGCCGCTGCCCCGTCCCTCTTCCTGCTGCTKCTTTTCACGGGCACCTGAGCTTCCCCTCCCCATGGTGGCTCCAGCTCATGCACAGGTCTGTGGGCCGCTTGCCACCATGACCCTGTGTGAGGAAAGGGYCACTTCTTCCTGATCTCTGTGTGTGGCTTTTCCCACGCTGGCCTCCACTGACCTGCCTCCCGAGCTCCTGTGCCTCCAGTCTTCTCTGGCTTCCTGAGATGTCTCTGAGGAAGCAGTGTGTCCCCAGCCAGTCCCTCGGCCAGCCTCCCAGGCCCGTGTGCTCCCCTCATATGACACAGCAGTGACTTGTGGACCTGCTCTCTGCAGTCTGGCCTGTAGCTCAGCTGGACAGGGCCTTCATCCTGGAGCCCAGTGACGGCCTCCAGCAGAGCCATCCCTGGGTGACTGCACGTAAGCTCAGTTCAAGTGGGTTTGGCTTGTGAGCCAAGGGGATGAAGAGGCTTTGTTCTGGGCTGGGGGTGTGGGGAGGCAAGGCCTCTGGGGCACGGCAGCCAGGTGACTCAGGACGTGCACAGAGCAGCAGTGAGTGGAGAACCYAGCAGCTCACGGGGCCAGTGCGGGCAGCCAGCTGTGTCCCCCGTGCCGCTTCGGCTGGGGGGCTCTGGAGACCCTCTCACGTGTGTTGGAGGTCCCTGTGCTACCTTTCGCTGCAGGAGTTGGGAACCCTTTCTTGAAACCCCAGAAGATCAGGCTTTAGGGTGGAGAGAGCTCTTCCAGGAAGGCTGGGGTCTGCTTCCCTCCTCTGGTCTGACCTGGCTGCCTTCCCTATCACTCACACCCCCCCAGGTGGCCAGGTCCGGGCAGGGCCACCATGCTGTCCTAGAAGTCTGGCCCCTGGGAGTCGCCTCCTCCCCAGGGCCAGTGAGGGGCATGGGCTGTCTGTTCAGGCCTGCTGTCAAGGAGCTGCCTGCTTTGAGAATCTCACAGACACAAACACATCAGCTTTGCTCTGTGTTCCAGGGACCTGTCCCCATGTCTCCTGGAAATTATCTCATGGCACGGTCCCTGAGCGGGCCTCTACTGCCCGTGGCAACAGGAAGTTCAACTGTGTTGCAATGTGGAGAGTGTTTTGACCCGTTTCTTAACTGGCTTGTTTTGTTATAGTCTTTGGTTTGGCTTACACCCAGGCATTGATTAAGAGAGACAAAGCCCATGTCTTTGATCCCATATTTGACCCATGTTCTTCCAACGCACGGCTGCTGGCGTCCACAGAGGCAGCTGGGCTGGGCCTGTACCTTCCTCACACCTGCTGCCCTCACACCTGTGCAAACAGCCTGCTCTGGGAAAGCAAGAACCGGGAATTCCCTGGAATCCAGGTGGGCTTTCCAAAGTTAAAGTTGCTCAAGGCCCAATTGATTTCATTGTAAACCTGGCCAASTGCTTTCCATCCTGAATCACTTTGAAGACCCTCAATGAAGTTCTTTCAACAAACAGTGAATTYTATAGAAGGAGAATATCTTAATTTTTAGTTTTTGTAGTAGGTTCTGTTTATTAAAGAACACAACTTAGTTTTAGTAGTTTATTTTTTCATGCACCCTCTCCCTAGAATTTAATTGATGTTAAGATGGGAAGGGAAAAACACGTGCATAGTRTGTGTCATCCTGTTCTGTGAAAGGACACTCCCACTGTTAGTGGCAGGCCCCACCACAGCACCCAGCATTGTGCTCCAATTCCAAATGCTTGAATGTTAGACTTTTTCTTAAGACAAAAACAGAGGTGTTCTTTCTYCAAGGAGAGGATGGTAATTACAGTCTCACCTAAGTCCTCAGCATTTCCTCACTTAGCGTTTCAGGAAGTATGAATAGACCACCTCAGAAACCTGGGAATCAATGGGATTTGGGCAATTCCCTCTTCCATCTCAGGCAGGCGCTGTCTCTGGGTGGCTCTGCTCCCAGTCAGGGCACCTGGGCTGGGCTGCTGCTCCCCGGGACCCTCCCTGTTCCTGTTCTCTTGAGGTGTAGAGCAGTGCTACTCTGGGCAGGCAGGGCCTTGGGGACTGGTCTGCGGAGGAGCCCCCCTGCTGCTGGAATGCCCACAGACCTCCTGCCCTGCGGTGAGCGTCCCAAGATGCAGTGCCCTAGGCCATCGCCTCCGAGCACCTGCCAGTCACACTACCTGCCCCCAGGGAAGCTGTCCCCACCAGAAGGCAGTGATCTGTCCCCTGACTACCAGCTGCTTCTGGTTGGAATAAAGCGTGAGTCCTTCTAGCAGATGGTGGTATCTCAGGAAAAGTTAGCACCTGATGCTTGAAGCTGGACTCTCTGGAAACTAGGTCTCCCCGCAGAGGTGAAGGTCCAGCCTGGCCCAGTGTCTCCCCAGTTGCTGGTCCAAGCCTCTACCCCAAACCCAGGAAATGGCCACTGAAGAGATGTCTCCCGAGCTCCGTAAGGGGCCTGCTCAGGTGCCATTAGCCACAACACTTGTGCTGCCCTTCTTGAGTGCAGTAGCTCCCCAGTGGGTATCTTGTTTGTCCCGTGGCTCCGATTCCTGTGTTAGCATTTGGTAATCTCCCAGAGTGACCYGGGATGCTCAGCCTCCAACAGGAGTCCCACTAGCTTTCCAAGGAGGGAAACTTCGTGAACTGGAGAATTTGCTTTTCCTCTTACTGACAGGGAGCAAGACCAAGGGACCCCGGCGTTTGCTAAATCCTGATTCTGTGTTCCTTTCAGTATAGATGAGGAGTGTGGGTGATCACTTTTACCAGAGCTCTCTGCCTCCACTGATAGGGCAGACGGAGCCAAAGTGCCAAAAACCCTGCTGGCACACATGATGCTCGGGAGGCCCACACACCACCTGGTCACCAGGTGACCACGGCTCTGTGCTCTATTCTGCTTAAGGTTTTCCTTTGAGCATTGCTAACATTCCACAGGCCAGAGACGATACCTGGTGGCCGCTGATGTTGCGTGGCCCAGGCTCGGGACAGTTCCATTTGTCATCTACGGACACCTACCGTGTGGTCCACGAGGCGTCTTTGTGTCTGTTATGTTGTCTGGCATGAAGTAGGACCAGACTGGGTGGGAAGGTGAGGGTTGGGTAGGACGTCCAAGGAGAAGAGGCAGAGGCCAGCAGGGGCGGCAGCCGAGTCTTCCCTGGGTACCCCGAGGACCCGGGTGGGAGGCCGCCCCCTCGGTCCTCTTTCTCGGTGTGTTGCCCTTCATGCAGCAGGGGAGGGGAGGGCATGCAGGTCCCAGGTCATAGCCACAGGAAACACCAGCTCCCTGAGGGGCACGGGTCTCATCATCTCAGTGTTCCAAAGGGGAACACTCACGGATTCTGGGAACGCAGGTGAAGCTGTGAAGGCCATTTGAAGGAGGAAGGATGACCTTCCAATTCCAAACAGTGCAGGTCCCCAACACATGGGACTTCCAGAAGAATGAGCTGAAAAGTGGGTGTGCCAGTCGGAAGAAAGCCCTGCTGCTCAGACTAGAGCAGAACACGGGCGAGTCCCCTTGCAGAGCCAAAGCAGGTGCGCAGGCCATTTTGGATCAGATGTCAACTGTGGACTCAGGGAATTAGAGTAGGGCTGTTGAGACAGATGGTGGCTTCGACATTTAAAGAGGTTCCCGGGACATTTCTGTGGGTGGTGGGCACTGAGCGGTGGTACCCCTTGGCATTTCATTACTTGACCTTCTGTGGCCCGGGGCGACCTTCTGTTTCCTGCTGCCTGACAAAGCAGAGCAGTTATATCTGGCTTGCTTTTTTTTTCTCCCCAAAGTTTTTGAGAGTCGATCAAGATAAAGACAGAGACTGCAGCCTGGACTGTGCAGGCTCTGCTCAGAAACCCCTCTGTGCGTCGGATGGACGGACCTTCTTATCCCGCTGTGAGTTCCAGCGTGCCAAATGCAAAGACCCTCAGCTGGAAATTGCTTACCGGGGAAACTGCAAAGGTAAGCCCCTTGATGGTCCGTGTATAGACCATGGAGCTGTCGTCAGAACACGTGCCTGTGTTGCTTACTCTCACATCTGCTAAAAGTTTATATTGAAAGGCTAAAGACTTTCATGTTTATAATTTTTTTGAGCATGTGAAGGGTGAAGAGTGATTCTGTGAATTTCAAAGTAGAGTCATTTGAAAATTACTTAATGCTTTTCTTCTTAAAGTGTTCTGTGCTGTCATGAAACCAATCTATCCAAGTGTTTTATAGACTGCCCTGGTGTCCCTCACCCAAGTTCATTGTTGGGTATTTCACTCTTCCTRGATGCTCTCAGGAGGGTGCTCAATAGCACCTGTGTGRTTCCTGGCAGGTGTTAGTGCTGATTTTACTCCTGTGACATTCACTTTTCTTGACTTGGGATCTCATCTAGATCTAACACTCCTGCCTAGAGCAGCACGTTGAAATGCTGCCCATGTTAATGAAGGGTTTGATGCAGGGAAAGATACTGGTGTTTCAAACACAAACAGAATCGCTGCACAAAGAAATCTGCCTCCTTTTTCTTTTTCTCTGGGAAACAAGACCACACAGGCTGGAGCAGCCTCTGGGTGGTGTTCGGGTCGCTTGGGGATTAGCCCCCCAGTCCTCCTAGCTGAATAAAGCTCAGCCAGGGGCACAATGTCGGGCCATAGTTGACCAGGTTTGGAAAACACTCACTCCTCCTTTCATAAAGCAGCACACCAGGCCGATGGATTGGTGCTGCTGTTCCAGACTAAGGCAGAATGTTGCCACCTTCTTTATCCCTGAGAGCCCTCCCTCTGGTCCAGACTCAGAGTAGTGGCTCCCAACARAGGGGCGGACAGCATGCCCTCTGGAGCCTGACCTTGGCACAGTGGCGTACCTTCACTCTGTATGCGTTGGTGTGTCCTGTCTGCAGACACTCGATCTGGAGCCTGGACTTCCTCTTAGCATGTGCATGTGGCTCTGCACATGACTGATGGTTACACATTATCAAGGACATTTTCTGTTGTCATGGTTTGTTCAAAGTTATTCTTTGGGACATGTGGCACTTAAAGGCTACAGAAAGGCTTGATCCATRTAGCTAGGCAGGTAGACCTTCCAGGAAGAGTGCTGGGAAGGTCCTCCTACTCATGAGGGTGTATGAGAGAATGATACTCCCAAGACCAGAGTCCATGGTAGGTGCTTTTCCTGAAATGTTAACAGACTCGTGTTTTGTCCTCTTGTGCTAAGAGAGCTATGACAATCCAGGCAGAAGCCAATCTGAGGGTCCTATCACCAGGAGCAACAGGTGGGGCTGGGAGAGAAGGTGGAGCCAGGTTGTGGCAGACATGGGTGGATGCAAATCCTGGCTGAGTACCCACACGGCCTTGCCCCTATGCACCTACGCTACACTTTCAGCCAGGTGTTCCCAGGCTGCAGATGGATTAGTACCATCAAGGTCAGTCTGAGTTTGCTAAATCAGGATGTGCTTCTGAAGGGAAGAGACCAGCCACTTTCAARTGGGAACTGTAATCTGGATTCACTCATTAACCTCAATATGCTCTTGGGTTTGCAAAGAAAAAAAAATGTAATAAAGAATTTTATTTATACTTTTAATCAGCATGGTGCAGGGGAAGGTAGGAGAGGCCCAAGACTGGCCATTCTTGAACACCTGGGGACTGACCACACCTGAACACCTGGGGACTGGCCATACCTGAACACCTGGGG